TACAAAGCTACATCACAACATACAAAGCTTCACCACTTTTATACACAGCTACATCACTACATACAAGCTACATCACAAACATACAAAGCTTCATCATCACTTTATACAAAAAGCTACATCACAACATACAAAGCTTCTCACCTCACTTTTATACACAGCTACATCACTACATTACACACTGCTTTTATACAAAGCTACATCACTACATACAAAGCTTCCATCACTTTATACAAAGTTACACTCACAACATACAAAGCTTCACCTCACTTTATACAAAAGCTACACACATCACAACATACAAAGTTTCACAACTTTATGCTAAAGCACATCACAACATACAAAGCTTCACCCACTTTATACAAAGCATCACAACATACAAAGCCTTTCCCACCACTTTTATACACAAAGTTACATCACGACATACAAAGCTTCCATCACTTTATATACACAGCTACATCACAACATACAAAAGCTACATCACAACATACAAAGCCTGCTTCCATCACTTTTATACAAAGTTAGCATCACAACATACAAAGCTTCACTCACTTTATACAAAGTTAAGCATCACAACATACAAAGCTTCACCACTTTATACAAAGTTACATCACAACATACAAAGCTTCATCACTTTATACACACAGCTACATCACAACATACAACTTTTATTAAAGTTTCACATCACTACATACAAAGTTTCCATCACTTTTATAATAAAGTTACATCACAACATACAAAGCTTCACCCACTTTATACAAAGTTACATCATCACAACATACAAAGTTTCATCACTTTATACACAGCTACATCACAACATACAAAGCTACATCACAACATACAAAGCTTCCATCCTTTTATACATTTACATCACAACATAGCTAAAGCATCACTCTTTTATACAAAGTTACATCACTACATACAAAAGTGCTTCACAAATCACTTTATACAAAGCTACATCACAACATACAAAGCTTCATCACTTTTTATACACAGCTACATCACAACATACAAAGTTACATCACAACATACAAAGTTTCATCACTTTATACACAGCTACATCACAACATACACAGCTACATCACAACATACAAAGCTACATCACAACATACAAAGCTTCATCACTTTATACACAGCCACATCACAACATACAAAAGCTACATCACAACATACAAAGCTTCATCACTTTATACACAGCTACAATCATCACAACATACAAAGCTTCATCACTACACACAAAGCTACATCACTACATACAAAGCTTCATCACTACAAAGCACATTATCACAACATACAAAGTTACATCACAACATACAAAGCTTCATCACTTTATACACAGCTACATCACAACATACAAAGCTACATCACAACACATACAAAGCTACATCACTTTTACACACAGCTACATCACTACATACAAAGCCACATCACAACATACAAAGCTTCACATCTACACACAGCATCACACATACATAAAGCTACATCAAGCTTTATACAAAAGCTACATCACTACATGATACAAAGCTTCCATCACTTTATACACAGCTACATCACTACAACATGCTAAAGCTGACTTCATACAAAGCTACATCACAACATACAAAAAGCTTCACCACCACTTTATACACAGCTACATCACATCACTATACAAAGCTACATCACAACATACAAAGCTTCATCACTTTTATACACAGCTACATCACTACATACAAAGCTACATCACAACATACAAAGCTTCATCACTTTATACAAAAGCTACATCACAACATACAAAAGCTTCACCCACTTTATACACAGCTACATCACTACATTACAGCTACATCGCTTTTATCATACAAAGCTACATCACTACATACACATAAACAGCTTCATCACTTTATATACAAAGTTACATCACAACATACAAAGCTTCACCCACTTTTATACAAAGTTACATCACAACATACAAAGCTTCACAACTTTATACAAAGCTACATCACAACATACAAGCTTCACCACTTTATACAAAGCCACATCACAACATACAAAGCTTCACCACTTTTATACAAAGCACATCACTTTACATACACAAAAAGCTTTATCACTTTTATACAAAGCTACATCACAACATACAAAGCTTCATTACTTTCTACAAAGCTACATCACAACATACAAAGCTTCATCACTCTTATACACAGCTACATCACAGCATACAAAGCTTCATCACTTTTATACACACAGCTACATCACAACATACAAAGCTACATCACAACATACAAAGCTTCATCACTTTTACACACAGCTACATCACAACATACAGCTACATCACAACATACAAAGCTACATCACAACATACACAGCATCACAACATACAAAGCTTCATCACTTTATACACAGCTACATCACTCATACAGCTTCTCTCACCCACTTCATACACAGCTACACATCACTATATGCACATCACTTTTATACAAAGCTACATCACTTACATACAAAAGCTTCATCACTTTTTATACACAGCATCACTACATACAAAGATACATCACAACATACAAAGCTTCACCTACTTTATACACAGCTACATCACTACATACAAAGTTAAGCATCACAACATACAAAGCTTTATCACTTTATATACACAGCATAAGATCATACAAAAGCTTCACAACTTTATATACACAGCTACATCACTACATACAAAGCTTCTCATCACTTTATACAAAGTTAAGCATCACAACATACAAAGTTTCCATCACTTTTATACTAAAGCTTACATCACAAATGATAAAGCTTCACCACTTTATACATTAGCTACATCACTATATACAAAGCACATCGCTTTATATACAAAGCTACATCACTACATACAAAGCTTCATCACTTTATACAAAGCTACATCACAACATACAAAGCTTCACCCACTTTATACAAAGTTACATCACAACATACAAGCTTCACAACTTTATACAAAGCTACATCACAACATACAAAGCTTCACCCACTTTTTATACAAAGTTACATCACAACATACAAAGCTTCACCACTTTATACAAAAGCTACACTCACATATTAAAGCTTTATCACTTTTATACAAAGCTACATCACAACATACAAAGCTTCATTACTTTATACAAAGCTACATCACAACATACAAAGCTTCATCACTTTATACACAGCTACATGACAACATACAAAGCTACATCACAACATACAAAGCTTCATCACTTTATACAAAGCTACATCACAACATACAAAGCTTCACCACTTTATACACAGCTACATCACTTTATACACAGCTACATCGCTTTATACAAAGCTACATCACAACATACAAAGCTTCATCACTTTATACAAAGCTACATCACTTTATACAAAGCTACATCACAACATACAAAGCTTCACCACTTTATACACAGCTACATCACAACATACAAAGCTACATCGCTTTATACAAAGCTACATCACTACATACAAAGCATACAAAGCTACCTCATTTCATACAAAGCTGCATCACTTCATACAAAGCGTCATCACTACATACAAAGTTACATCACTACATACAAAGCTTCATCACTATATACAAAGCTACATCACGTCATATAAAGCATACAAAACAACATGACTTCATACAAAGCCACATCACTTCATACAAAGATTCATCACTTTATACAAAGCTTCATCACTTTATGCAAAGCTACATCACGTCATACAAAGCATACAACGCTTCGTCGCTTTATACAAAGCTTCATCACTACATACAAAGCTACATCACTACATACAAAGTGTCATCACGTCATACAAAGCATACAAAGCGTCATCACTTCATGCAAAGTTAAATCACTTGATACAAAGCGTCATCACTACATGCAAAGGTACATCACTACATACAAAGCTACATCACTTCATACAAAGCTTCATCACTTTATACAAAGCTACATCACTATATACAAAGCTACATCACGTCATACAAAGCTACATCACGTCATACAAAGCTACATCACGTCATACAAAGATTCATCACTTTATACAAAGCTTCATCACTTTATGCAAAGCTACATCACGTCATACAAAGCATACAACGCTTCGTCGCTTTATACAAAGCTTCATCACTACATAAAAAGCTACATCACTACATACAAAGTGTCATCACGTCATACAAAGCATACAAAGCGTCATCACTTCATGCAAAGTTAAATCACTTGATACAAAGCGTCATCACTACATGCAAAGGTACATCACTACATACAAAGCTACATCACTTCATACAAAGCTTCATCACTTTATACAAAGCTACATCACTATATACAAAGCTACATCACGTCATACAAAGCTACATCACGTCATACAAAGCTACATCACGTCATACAAAGTTTCATCGCTTTTTACATAGCTTCATTACTACATACAAAGCTACATCACGTCATACAAAGCTACATCACTTCATACAAACCTACATCACTACATACAAAGCAACATCACTTGATACAAAGCGTCATCACTATATACAAAGCTACATAATTACATACAAAGCTACATCACTTTATACAAAGCTACATCACGTCATACAAAGCATACAAAGCTACATCACTTCATACAAAGCGTCATCACTACATACAAAGCTTCACCACTTTATACACAGCTACATCACTACACACAAAGCTTCATCATTTTATACAAAGCTACATCACTACATACAAAGCTTCATCGCTTTATACAAAGCTACATCACTACATACAAAGCTTCATCGCTATATACAAAGCTTCATCACTTTATAGAAAGCTGGGGCGGTGTCCCCACATGGGTTCGAATCCCCACATGGGTACAATGTGTGAAGCCCATTTCTGGTGTCCCCCGCCGTGATGTTGCTGGAATATTGCTCAAAGCGGCGTAAAACCAAACTCAGTCAGTCAGTCAGTCAGTCATACAAAGCTACATCACTTTATACTAAGCTATTTCCCTTGGTATAGAGTTATATACGCTATAATTGTTGTGTCGTCTAATACTAGATTCTACTTTGTTTTCAGGTCTTACCTACACCTCCAGTACAGCCGTGAACACGTCATCAGTGACGTCATCGATGATGTCATCAGGTAAGTCTCAGGTTACTACTGGTACACAGAGATGAGAGGACATGAATTATGTTTATTCCCTAAGTGATTTTGTTTGTTTGTTGTTTAACGCCGCGCTAAGTGGTGGCTGTCTGTAAATAATCAAATCTGGACCAGACAACCCAGTGATCGACAAAGCATACAAAGCAACATCACTTGATACAAAGCGTCATCACTATATACAAAGCTACATAATTACATACAAAGCTACATCACTTTATACAAAGCTACATCACGTCATACAAAGCATACAAAGCTTCATCACTTCATACAAAGCGTCATCATTACATACAAAGCTTCACCACTTTATACACAGCTACATCACTACACACAAAGCTTCATCATTTTATACAAAGCTACATCACTACATACAAAGCTTCATCGCTTTATACAAAGCTACATCACTACATACAAAGCTTCATCGCTTTATACAAAGCTTCATCACTTTATACAAGGCTGGGGCGGTGTCCCCACATGGGTTCGAATCCCCACATTCGGGTTCGAATCCCCACATGGGTACAATGTGTGAAGCCCATTTCTGGTGTCCCCTGCCGTGATGTTGCTGGAATATTGCTCAAAGCGGCGTAAAACCAAACTCAGTCAGTCAGTCAGTCAGTCATACAAAGCTACATCACTTTATACTAAGCTATTTCCCTTGGTATAGAGTTATATACGCTATAATTGTTTTTCCGTCTAATACTAGATTCTACTTTGTTTTCAGGTCTTACCTACACCTCCAGTACAGCCGTGAACACGTCATCAGTGACGTCATCGATGGTGTCATCAGGTAAGTCTCAGGTTACTACTGGTACACAGAGATGAGAGGACATGAATTATGTTTATTCCCTAAGTGATTTTGTTTGTTTGTTGTTTAACGCCGCGCTTTGTGGTGGCTGTCTGTAAATAATCAAATCTGATCCAGACAACCCAGTGATCGACACCATGAGAATCGGTCAACTGGGATACGATGACCTGTGTCAATCAAGTCATCGAGTCTGACTACCCGCTCCTTTAGTCGCCTCTAACGACAAGCATGGGTTTGCTGAAGACCAGTTGTAGCCTGCATCTTAACGGTTCCTGGCCACAGTGAAGTGACTGAATGAAGTTGAACGGTAAATCTGTTTGAAAGGGTTTATGGGAGTGTTACGCCATGACAGATGTGTTGGTTGAATTGCAAACACGCACACACGCATAGGCACGTAAGCAGACACATGAACGGATACAAACTAACACATTCAGGCTATCAAAGCCTGTCTGATCACTTGGATCCCAAACGCCCACGTACAGTCTATATGCATACTTGTATTTCGGGAATGTCATTACTACAAAGAAAAGGCGCACTATTTTTCCTGTAAGTTCTTACCGAAATAAATCATAACTCTGAAGAGTTTTTAGAAATTGCTTTATTGATAGTTCCTAACAGGGTCTGGCAATATTTTGACAGTTCGTTGCATGTGTGCTCCCGTACTATTTTCAAATTGTTTTAAGTTGATGCATTGACGCGAGGTCACGGTCATCCTTTTGGACAACGTAGTTCCGTGTTCACGTGTTTCCTCTTATGATCGGGAACAACACCCTTTATTGATTCCTAGTAATAATGTCGGAAACCATTGTATAGATAATCTTTATTAATGACTCTAAATGTTTGGCCTGCATCGGCTACACCAAACGAGGAAACTTTTGTCGTGAATTTGATTTCCATAGATTTCCAACTGTGTATTTTCCTTGTTTCAAAGTTGTGTAGACTCTAAACCTACCCCGTCTCTGGACAGGTGGGCAAGTGTGTAACACTCTGTAACATGTGGCGACATATTTAGCATACGTCACGATCGCGTTGTATTAGGGGTACCCGGCAGTATGTCAGGTGATCGATCTTGGTTAAATATGCTCATGGTACTTCACAAGACAAGGGTGTATCTTATTCATTTCAGAAGTATCTGAGAGTAAACACTGTAGTGAAATATCGATGTATATAGAAGATAATTGTATTAGCTTTCCGTCGCTCATACACAAGGAAGAACTGATATTCGATGAATAATCATTCTAACAAATAACTATCCTTAAAGGTTGCACGTGAGCATGATTGGTTGTACTGGGTGAATGAGAGAGTTCGGCCTAAAGTTGTGAACAGTGGCGATCTGTCAGCTGTTGCTCATGCTGTCAATCACTGTTTTGACAGAAATTCCAGTCTGTTGTCATATAGCTGGATTATCAACACATGTGTGTCGATGGGATGTTGAAACGCTTATCTTTACAACGTATGGTGGGGCACTGGAGAAGCCAAGCTGTTAATATACTGGCGTATATGGCTAATGGTCCAGGTTCGATTCTCTTCAGGAGTATAATAGGTCCTGCCTTTGTTTTATTGTACACTATTCCCAACCCCGGGATGTTATTGGAATAATGGTAATATGATACAGAGTAAAAATCTTACCAAGGACGTCAGTTTTAAACAACAACCATAGACAAATGGAATTAGTTTGGATTAGCAATACTTTGACCCGTGTAATGCGACATTTTGTCAACTTGATGCTATGCTGATGATATGTCATCTAGGATTCGAACTCATGACTGGGGTAAAACCATCAGTAAGCTTGGTCACAAACAGATAATCTATGAAGCTAAACAAGTAGGTGTACGAACCTGTGTTTGAGTCAACTTGGAAGAGGTAGTTGTACGTTCTTTGTACCAGGTACTATTCTGATCAGCACTGAAAACTTGAAACCCGGGATGTTTTGGACTAGGTTTTTAATCATATTAGGTTTAAGACAATAATTTGAGTTGTATGCTGGGCACAGAACATCTTGACATCAAAGGAAAACTCTTTAACAAGGATAACGTTCATGATGACAAGGTACCCTCCCAAAATGAAGTCCACAGCGTGGAGAATAATTCGATTAAGGTTTTCAGTAAGGGTTGTGACCTCATCTAGCGTCTCTTACAGCCACACAACGTCTCTTCGTGGATCTTAGAACGTTAGTAAACACACCCCGAGGACGACGTCGCCATTGCTCAACAAGGTGACGCTGAAGATCTTGCAACGTCTGTGGTGGCGTGACGTGCTGACGAACACGTCGACCAAGCTGGCCCCATTTCGTAGAAGATTCTGCGTAAGAATTGCCATATGCGGTTAAGCGTTGTCATGTTGGAACGTCAGTCCAGGGCCATGTCTCTGCATACATGGAAGCAGGACAGGTTGCAAAACCTGATCCCTGAACTGGGCAGCATTTCAGTTTCCTCGAACGACAACAAGGGGAAACGTCCGAGTGCGCAATATGACCCCCCATTCCATTATGTTTTCGCCACTACATTTGTCCACTTCACGGACGCAGACTTGAGCGTGGCGTTCATCTCGACTGTGGTACACTCGGGCCCTGCCGTCGGCGGATCTCATTGTTTATCGAGATTCGTCGGTGAAGACAACCGAATTCCACTGTCTTTGATTGAACCTGATGTGTCTTGTGGCCCCACCAGTCGGTTGCGGAACAGACGTCAAAACTGATCCATTATTATGTCTTCGGGCGCGAAGTCCAGCGGCACGCAAACGAATTCTTGCGAATCCCTACACCAAACATCTCCATACTTGTGGAAGCTGCAGTAACAAATGTGTTCCGAAGATGACGTAATCGTATTGCTTGATCTTCCCGGAGTGACGTCACACGTGTTGCTCACGGTCGGCAACAGTTCCGGTTTGATGCACTAACATTCTAAGATTAAAAAATGCCTGTCGTGAGCAATTAAAGGCTCTTGCAACAGCGAACGCAGACTGACCAGCGTCAAGCCTCCCCATAACACGTTGACGTTCTTGATTTGAAAGGCGTGGCATTTCCAAACAAAGATAAATATACAAAGTTTAATTTGTTTTGCAGCTCACATTGAATGTGCCTGCTCAGTTTAAGCAAACATGCACCGAATGACCTCATGAATTTCGTGTTTTACATCTTTATATGCTACAAAGTCAAGGTTTGCACGTGAGCGTTTGTAATTTCACGAAATTAAAGCATTCATACTGTTTAATACTGTTCAACAGACTTGTAAATCATTTGATTAAACATAAAAAAGACAAATGTCGAAATTGATCAGTGTCAAGTGTTCAATTTTGTTGGGTATAGATAACTTGTCCATTCACCCCACTGTCTGCATCTGCGTCGCTAACAGTGGTTATGGAGCTGTCACAGATTCCGCTGTAAGGAACCTCTGTGGTGTGGAAGCTTTGCGACATTACATGGTTAATGTCGTTGATGTCAGTCACAGTTATTGTTACCGTGGTGGTGGACGTTCGTGGCCTAGCACCTCCATCGACAGCGAGGACGTTGAAGGTAAAACTGTCAACAGCTGATTTGATTGAAAGGTCTCCCGTAGCTATGGTGATGTCAAAGAAAAGTGCAGCTCTCGCACCTATTGACCACGTCACAGCGGCGTTGACACCGATGTCGTTGTCAGTAGTAGCTATCTAAAGTATGCTTGTACCGACGGTAGCATTCCCGCTCACTGAACCTGTGTACGACGCAGCATCAAGCACAGGATCATTGTCATTAAGGCCACCGTTCGTAGTTATCTCCCTCCGCCATTTACGCCGAAATGAGTGTTTTTTCCTTGTCAGAAGATGACGAATTCATATCCCACAGCTCCATTCGTGCCTGTAATCAATCATCAATGGCGGTCACATAGTTTACAGTAGTGCCCGCCGGGACGTTTTCTCCAATGCTAAAAGCGTAATTAAGATTCTGGAACACGGGATGGTTGTCGACGTCGGTTATTGTTAAAGATACTGTGACGGCGTTGTTCAAAGGGCTGGTTCCGTTGTCTGTAACGGTGACAGTCAATGTGTAGGTTGGAGTTACCTCCCTGTTCAAGGATTTACTGAGCTGCAAGATTCCCGACCTTGCGTCTGATACTTGAATGGTGAAGTCGAAGGTTGGTGTGGTGGCTCTCCGGTGATCACAGAGTTGTTCAGATTAGAATTAGGGTCACCGGAGATTTCGTGGCCGTTACCGTCAAGATGACCGACAGTACAACAGTGGGACTTGACGTATAGAAACTAAGGCAAGATATATTGTTGTTGTCACTGGTAGGGGTGACTACGGAGGGGAAACAACTTTTGCGATAACGATAGTCTATTGCAACATACTATTGCGTCCAACTATTGCAATACTATTGCAATAGCGTTTTTCTCCTTGCGTTGTCTCAGACATCATGTTCCAGATGGATGTGTAGTTTATATAAATAAAACAATCTGAAATAGTTTCAGTCTCCTTTAATAACTGACATGAAACATGAAACCCAGATCAAGTTAACAGTTAAAACATAAACTTATTGTTTTTCACAATTTCAAACTCCGAGTCGCATGCCGTGTTTGCAGCCATGTTTGTTTAAGATGTAACAGGGGTAGATAACTCTATATCAAGAACGAAATCTGGTACTTCCAGATTTCGCGCTGCGCATCTACTAACGGAAGTCAATTACTAAACTATCGTTAGTCACACATACTATCGATGCATCATTGATAGTTTTTCGTTTCTACTTAAATTGCTATCTGAGACTCAACAATTGCAATCCATCCATAGTTCGATGCATCGTTACAGCCATAGTCATTGGCATCTCCAACTGTCACAATCACGGACGTCGTCACCGCCCTTGACGTCGCAGACCCAGCAACATCATCAGCAGCGGTGACAGTAAGGGTATAAGTGTCCACAAGTTCCCTGTTCAGCTGTTTGGCGACGATCTGTCAAGTATTCTCGTCTATAGTGAACCTGCCTTGTGCACCCCGTTGGTGATGCTGTA